GGGGGGGGGTCCATGGGGAGCACATCCCAGGGATTACAGCAGCCAGCAGGAAGTACAACAGCAGGTAACAGCTCAGAGTAAGAAAGCAGCCAGTGTGCCCAGGTGTCCGGGGCAAGGAAGAGGTAGGGTATGGTGTGGAATAGGGCCCAGAGAGCTAGACCAGGCTTTGGAGATCTAGCGAGGTGTTGAGGCTAAACTGCATCCTCACAATCACCTCTGCAAGGAGGTGAAGGTTTCGATGATGAAGAGACACAGCTGGGATGCATGTCCAGGGAAGGCAGAGGCTGCAGGCTGCTCAGAAAGTCTCCCAAGAGGGAAGGTGGTTCTCACCCTCTCCGGCCAGGAGCGCCTTTTCTGCCAACCCCCTCCCTCCAGTCCGGGCCACTGATGTGACTCCTGTGAAGACAGCATTGTACTCCCTTCCACACCCTTCTCACCCAGGCCCCACCTCATAGACCCCATCACCGTGGCAACTGAGCCAACCAATCAGAATACACAGCTTTAAAGGGGCAGTCTTATAAATTGAGTCCCCTTTCTCCAAACAGGCCACAACTAACATTCAGAGGCCTCTCAAGGCCCCCTCCTCCTGGATAAACCTATTCAGTTGCCTCCCATTTTCCTCAGGGGAGAAAAAGAGGAGTCTTTTTCCCAGAATACGCTGGGACCAGAGCCAAGTCTACAGTCATCCAGACTAGAGCTCCAGCCTCACTCACAGCCATGCCACACAGGAGCAACTCAGGAGCCCCTGAAAGTTTCCTGCAGTAGCCTGGGAAACACCCAGAGCAGTGAGAGCCTGGGACAGAGACCAGGCTGGCCCAGGCTGAAGGAATGCAGCAATGCCAGCCTGCTGAGCAGCGGGTATGCGGGCGATGAGGAGAACAGCGAGGCCAGCCTGGCGCGCAGCCCCCGAATCGTGCGTTGGAATAAAAGGCTCCACCTCAAGGTAGGCGGCACCCAGCCTTGCCAGCTGTGCACCACATCCTCTCCCAGCCACGTGGACAGCCAACTGACCAGTACAGCCCACAGCAGCACGCAGACTGGAGCAGAAAAGTGAGAACAGCCTGCCGGGCAGCTGCGGCAGCAGCCTGACCAGCATCAGCTTCCTCAGCCCGGGCAGCAGCATCCTGACCTACCAGGTGAGCAGCGGGCTGCTCAGTTCCATGGGCAGCCGTCCCTCCAGTCAGGCCAGCAGCTGCCAAAGCATCAGGGTGGATGACAGCATGCAGAGTGGGCCGACTAGCAGCACCAACGTTCAGGAGGACAAGACAGGGGGTGACATGAAAAATAGTGACCAGGTCACCAAGGCCGAGCAGCCTGCCTCGATGGGCATACCTTTATAAGATGACTCCGCAGCCACTGGATGTCTACTGAAAACTGCAGACAAGAGGGCCCAAAAAACCCACACTGAATTCACCCAGAGGGATTATTGCCAAGACAGGTAGGAAAGGCCTTTAAAAAGTGTACACTGACCATGTCCAAAATCATCAATGGTTAGTTCCATCTGTAGCAACAATCATCAGCAGGCAGATCACATGTAGCAAGAACTATTGAGCTGAACCCTACCTATACTGAGAATCTTTGTTTCTGAGAAGAGCCATGTCAATAGCCACCAGTGCTGGGACCACTGTATCAGAACCACCCATGGACCTAACATCAGTATGAACTTAGTATGAACCTCAGTAATGGGCCGTCCATAGCAAGATCCATCAGAGGCAAAATCTCTGCAGGGGGCACCATCATAAGACCACCTGTACCAAAGTACATAAGTGGTGACAACTTTCAAGAAGGAAGTGCCAGATTTGTTAACAACCATTGGAAGTTAGAACCTTCCATGAGGAAGTCATCTAAGTGCTGAACGCCATCTACAACCAACACCAACCATGACAAGCTCTAAACAAGGACCAACCATGGTTGGGCTGTCCATGTCAAGAACCGAGAACAGCTTCAGTGAGCCCCATGCATGGGGAGCTGCACTTGGTCCCTACCCAGCTCTGTCACACATACTGTCCACAGTGGGCATTGCCCATGTGAGCTACAACATGACAACCATGGTGAACAGGGAGCTCCTCCATGACTCTAAGCACCTGCGGAGGCACAACCCTCAATGACGGTCACCAGGAGAGACCATCAGGAGCAGCTATGAGTGGACCAGTCCCCAGGAGTAGCATCTACAGTGGACACTTGTAAGGGCTGTGCCCAGAAAGCCCATCCCTGAAGCATGTCATTCAAAAGAGCATCATGCTTCATCTTTGAGCACTGTTTCTGGACAGCTTCAGCCGGAATCCTCCCAGGAGCAAAGGCTCCCTGACGCCCCATTCATGTCTCCGTGTGTATCAGGGGAGGCAAAGAGACAAAGCAGGAGACCAGGAATCATCTTTGTTCAGATGGTGGGGACAGTGCTTCTTCCTGTGGCAGGACAATGCCATGATAAATGCTTAATGGTGCTGGAGCCCACGCCAGCCAGAAACGGCTATGATGGAAAAGCTCTGGGCCATTTAGTGAACTCACCTAGGTGGGTAAGAGGGTTGAAGTCTCTGTCCCTCCCCTTCTCAGGACAATAAAGCCCCTCCCTAGCTGACATCACAGACTTACGGGTGGGGGCTGGGCCCACAAAGGG